TAAACAGGAAAAATAAATGAGAGGATCAGGTAAGTCATTTTTTGAATTTCTTTATTTTTAGAAACCAAAAGACTAACTTAATCCTAGTAATTTAAACACCGAATTTCCACAAGAACCAAAAGATTTTTTTTTGTCCAAAGATTTCTCATGTGCTGCTTGTTTTCAAGGAAAACTTATTATGAGGCCGTCCCCAATGAAAGTTGCAATTGAATCTCCTGCATTTTTAGAACGAATTCAAAGAGACATATGTGGGCCTATAATTCCATCATGTGGACCATTTTAGTATTTTACAGTACTATAATAGATGCATCGACGCGTTTGTTACATGTTTGTTTATTATCTACTCGCAAATTACTTTTGCGAGACTCCTTGCTCAAATAATCCGATTACGGGCACAATTTCTAAATTATACAATCAAGAAAATTCATCTTGATGATGCATGAGAATTTACATCCCAAGCTTTTAATAGTTATTGTACGTCAATTGGGATTATTGTAGAGCATCTTGTAGCTCACATGTATATGCAGAATGGGTTAGCATAATCTTTTATTAAAAGATTGAAATTAATTGTGAGGCCTTTACTTATGAAAACAAAGTTACTAAGTTATGTTTGGGGACGTGCCATATTACATGCAGCAACACTTATTCGCATAAGGCCAACTGCATATCATAAATACTCCCTATTACAACTTGTTTCTGGTCGAGAATCAGATATTTCCCATCTAAGAGTTTTTAGTTGCGCGGTATATGTTCCAATTGCTTCACCACAGCGCACTAAGATGGGCCCTCAAAGAAGGCTAGGAATTTATGTTGGATTTGAATCTCCGTCAATTATTAAATATCTCTAACCCTTGACGGGTAATCTTTTTACTACACGGTTTGCAGACTGTAATTTGTCGAGACAGTTTTCCCAACATTGGGGGGAGAGAAACAACAGCTGGAAAAATAAAAAATTTTATGGAATGCATCGTCTTTATTGCATTATGATCCTCGTATGAATCATTGTGAATTAGAAGTTCAGAAAATCATTCACTTGTAAAAAATTGCAAACCAGTTACCTAATGCATTTACTGATGTTAAGAAAGTGACAAAATCATATATACCAGCTGAAAATGCTCTTGTTTGAATTTATGTCCCTCGGGGCAAACTACTAATGTATTAGCAAACGAGTCTAAGGCACGCCAAAAGCGTGGTAGACCTATCGGTTCCAAGGATAAAAATCCAAGAAAGAAAAAGGAACAAAATAAGCAGGTTGGTGCTTCTAAAGTTACTAATATTCCTGAAGAGCCCATGGGAGAAATAGTTGACATAACTAAACAAGAAACCCTAGCAGAGGTTCAGGTACCTGAAAATATCGTTAATGAAGAGATCTCAATAAGTTATGTAACTTCAAGATAACGACTTGTAGCACAAGGCTTCTCATAGAGACCTAGTATTGATTATGAGGAAAAATATTCTCTAGTGGTGGATGCAATTACATTCAGATTTTTGATAGCCTGACAATTTTATAAGGACTTTATATGCGTCTTATGGATGTTATAATAGCTTAGCTGTATGGATCACTTGATAGTGATATTTACATGAAAGTCCCTGAAGGACTAAAAATGCCTGAAGCATGCAATTCAAAACCCCGGAAAATATTTTCGATTAAATTACAAAGATCTTTGTATGGATTAAAGCAATTTAGACGCATGTGGTATAATTGTCTCAGTGAATATCTTTTGAAAGAAGGATATATCAACAATCCAATTTGCCCATGTGTTTTTATCAAGAAATCAAAGTCTAGATTTACTATTATTGCAGTTTATGTTGATGATTTGAATATTATTAGGACTTATGAAGAACTTAATGAGACGATAACATATTTGAAAAATGAATTTGAAATGAAAGATTTGGGTAAAATAAAATTTTGTCTCGGCTTGCAGATCGAACATTTATCTACAGGGATTTTTGTTCATCAATCGACTTATATTGAGAAGGTATTAAAATGTTTTAATATGGATAAATTCCATCCATTGAGTTCTCCCATGGTTGTTCGATCCCTTAATGTGAAAAAAGACCATTTTCGTCCACGAGAGAAAAATAAAGAGATTCTTAGTCCAGAAGTACCATATCTTAGCGTTGTTGGAGCGCTAATGTATCTTGCTAATTGCACAAGACCTGACATAGCATTTTCTGTTAGTTTACTAATAAGCTGTAGTTCTTCACCAACTCGAAGACATCAGAATGGTGTTAAACAAATACTTTGTTATCTTCGTGGTACATCGGATATGGGATTGTTTCACTCGCAGTGCTTGAAGTTAGAGTTGATTGGATATGCAGATGCTGGATATTTGTCAGATCCACATAAAGCGCGATCACAAACAGGGTACTTGTTCACATATGGTGGTACTGTTATATCTTAGAGCTCCACAAAGCAAACTCTTACAGCTACATCTTTGAATCACACTGAAATATTAGCAATTCATGAGGCAAGTCGAGAATGTGTGTGGTTAAGATCCCCGGTGCAGCATATAAGAGAAACATGTGATCTCTCATTTGTCAAAGGAAGTCCAACACTGTTGTATGAAGATAATGCAACCTGTGTCGCTCAACTCAAAGAAGGTTACATTAAAGGAGATAGAACTAAGCATATTTGACTAAAATTCTTTTTCACACACGAGCTTCAAAAGAAAGGAGAAATAGACGTCCATCAAATTCGCTCCAACGATTATTTGGCAGATTTATTTACAAAGGCACTTCCTATGACGACATTTGAGAAATTAGTGCATAAGATTAGCATGCGTCGGCTCAGAGATCTTTGAAATAAGACATGTCGACTTGAGGGGGAGACCTTTGCGTACTGTACTCTTTTTCCCTTAGCCTAGTTTTTATTCCATTAGATTTTCCTGGCAAGGTTTTTAATGAGGCAATTATAAAGCGCAAATCCTACAAGAATAATGTACTCTTTTTCCCTTCACTAAGATTTTTTTTCCCACAGGATTTTTTCTTAGTAAGGTTTTTAACGAGGCATATTCTTAGTAGGTGGCATCTAAGGGGGAGTGTTGTAAATCAATTGCATTGGATGTCACATCTTAGTATTCCATAACCTACATAGATATTAAATCACTCATTTAGATCCCATTATTTCCCCTCTTAATATTGTGTATTATTGTTATAACTCCTCTCTTAATTTCGCATGTAACTTAAGTAACTTATGTCTTCTCCTATGACCTCCAGTTATGATCCTTAGGCTATAAATAGAGGAGGTATTTACTTGTATGATGACTCCTTACAAAAAAGAACACAAAGCTTTTTTGTCTCTCACTCTCTCTTGTTCTTTTAGTTTCATGCCATTGTAGATTTTATTATTATTTTATAACAGTTTACATATTTCAGTGTTATTGATTTAGGAATATCATCTTTGATCCCCAGATTGCCCTCTCAAATTTCCCGTTATTTATCTCAAACGAATTCATCTTCTCCATGCCCTATCGGATTTGATCAGATGAAACATGGGAATAATAAAACTAGCTATTAATTGTGAGTTGTATTACTTGATTGAATTCCTTGGATTGGTTTTAATGATGTTGCAGAGAGTTGGTTGGATGATATTATATGTTGTCAATGTTTACTTTTTTTTTCTTCTTCTAGCTTTTCCATTTTAAATATTTTTAACATGTTTTGCCACAAGAAATAAGTCTTAGGATGAATAACAAGAAAAATCTAGAGGAATGTTCATTTCCTAAATAGTACAAGATTTCTGCCCTAAACTTTTATTAAACAAAACACGGCAGAGTTCTTAAAGAAGGGCACAAAAACTGGGGGTCGATTTCCTTTCTACCAAAGAGGGTCCGAAACACTAGCCCAAGCCCAAAGTTGTAAATAACGAATTAGATTGGTTATAATATCTAGGAAAAATAGAGAATTTATCGTCTGAACATTTATTTTTTATTCTTAATAAATATCATTTTGTTAGTATAATTATTTGACTAAAAATGTTATGAATCAAGAGTAAAAGGTAAAAATCATTATCCATGCACTTTCAATGAATTTTTGTCAAAATTACCCTAATATCTAAGTGCAATTTGGATCGAATGACCACGCATAATAAAAACATACATGGATGTTTTCGGCGGAAGAGTATCAAAATATAACCCTTTCCTACTCTCTAGTGACAATTTTGAGTTTAAAATAATTACGTTGTTTCTTTTATCTCTCGAAGAAAATTCTCAAGAGTGAAAGGAAACGACGTAAATATTTTAGGCTCACAATTGTCACTAGAGTGTGGCCCTAACCTCCAAGCCGGACTGGCCGAGGTTCCAAGCCTAAACACTTATTCAGGCCGGGTTAAGCCTTAGGCGACAGTGGCAGGCCTCGAGCCGATCCATTTAGTTCGGTCTAAATTTACAACTCTACTCGCTTATTTAGTCTCTTATAATCTCTTATTGCACACAAAGGAAGCGCCTTCTTATCCAAAAGCTTATAACATTCGGAGGGATTTGCAATGAGCACGCCTGTGCCGCTGAAAAATTGTGGATAATTGACTGTCTAAAGAAACAGAAAACGTATATAAACAGATCATATGACGTTTAACTCAACTTAAACCCTTAAGTTTCACAAATATCGAGGTGCTCCGCAAAGTAGGACCCATTCCCTATTAGAGACGGAGTTGGAACTTGTATGTCCCTAGCTCTGCTCTTAAAGTCTAGTTTGAGTTCTATATTTCTTAATTTACCAAATGTCGAAATCATATACATAAATGTTCGCTCGCCAATTTAGTTCATTTCTCAAAGTGAGACAAACTTCCCTGCTAATGTTTCATGCTCATGCTACTACACTACAGCGTCCATTAAGGAACTCACAGAATCGGTTTTCTTTCCTTTCAAGGCTTCAGGAAAACTGTAACATGAAGCCCAGTTATCAGGAAGCATCAATAAATCCTTTTAATTTATGGTATAGAAGGGTCATTGTTATTAGTACTATTGTCTAATGGTACGTGGATCAGTTGCGAAAAACGCTTCAGAACCATTTGAACTCGTTACCACATTGCCATTCATCTGAATTGGTCAATCTCAGAAAATGTACACGCAAGCAATGGAAGTCAAAATTATGGTCAGCAGTATAGACACCGCGTTCACCAAGTTATTGTCAAGAAAGTTTAGACCTGAAATCTTCTTGACCGTTGGTCCTGGTTTTCCAACAACCTAGAATCCAAGTAACTGCTAAATTAAGCATTATGTTCTAGAAAAGTTAAAAACTTGCGATGAAACAAGTGAATATCTAAAGACTCAGAACAATGATGGCAAGAGATCTCAAAATTTGTTATCACACATACCTTATTACGAACAGTGCAGAATCCACTGAATTGCAGGGTAGCTCCCAAAAGAGAATCAATCATGCTACCTAATAGTCCAGCTATAGTGGAAAGAGGTACTACCAATAGCTGCTTCAAAGCTGCATCATACGTGCATTTTGCAGTGAGAAATCCAAGGACCACAAATGTCAGCCCGATGACACTTCCTGCAGCTGCAGCAGCTAGGAGTCCAGTTTTTGTAACGCCTCCATTCGTACCCTTCCGAACAGGCTGCCAAATGTGTTAAACCAAGTTACTAAACCCTGTCTACATACTATAAGTGGTAAGTTGGTTCCTCAACCCGCATAACGTTTCTTTTTCCCAATACCAGATATCTTAAGCTGAATTGAATCCTAAACTCCACTTACAAAAAGAGTAGGTAATACAAGAAGGATACAAGCCTCGACATAGCAATTATAGGAGGAAAAAAGTAATAAAATAGACACTCATATGCAGCCTATTACTTCGTTAGACAGTGACATAATCAGCAAAAGTGTTGTTGGAACGAGACCAACGCAATCGGAATGAGATGAATCTGAATAAATCAAGAAAGGGAAAAGTAAGAACACGCCAAAGTTACCCAGGTTCGGCCAAAAATTGATCTACTCCTGTTGAGCTCCTCCACAAGAAACTCAATCCACTATAAAGAAGAAGATTACACCCTCAGTTGTTACACAGAAACTCTCAACTGAGGAAATAGAGACACAAACCCAAAAACCAACCCAAGAGAAAAAAAAAAGTGTTTCCAGAGAAAAAATACCTAGAAGAAATCTTAGGACCCGTTTAGTTCGCTGATTCGAGTTTTTAATTCGAGTTGAGATATGACTTTATGTGAGAGCTTTTTACTATAGTAAAAAAGTTAGATATGATTGTTTGTGAGAGCTTTTTACTGTAGAAAAACTCGAATTCTAAACTCGAATCAGCGAAATAAACGGGGCCTTAATTTCTTCTATTTTCTATTCTCTCTCTCTCTCTCACTAGAAATTCTGTTTCAACCTCTCAGATAAAAGTGTATGTTCCTCACCGACTAAAAAAAATGACTACAACTAATTCTGTTTTTACATATATATTTGTTGAGAATGAATTTAGCTCAGCACCGACTTGAAGGAACTTCCACATGGAGCACTTTTACTGGTCTGTATGAATCCTTTAAGCAATACGCTGCGTTTAATCTCAATGAATATGAATAGTGTATATCTTGTGGAATCATAGCTCTATCCTTCTAGGCTACGTTTTTCCAATATTAAGCAAATCTAGACATTTCTGGAATTTGCTTGCAGTGATTACTTTCGTAGCCATATCTGAAGGATTCTCTTCAGTATCAACCTTTTCCAGCTTGACTACTCCATCTTCTACTTTTTCCCTGATGAAGTGATGCCTCATGTCTATATGCTTAGACTTTTCATGATATACTGGATTTTTGCATAAATGGATTGCTGTCTGACTGTCTGGTTCCTCTCATCATCTTCAACTCTTTTAGCAATCATTGCATCCATATAGCTTCTTTAAAACCCTCTGTAAGAGCCATATATTCTACATCCGTGCTTGATAAAGCAACTGCAGGTTGTAGTTGAGCTTTCCAGTTGATACAACTACCACTTAAAGTCATCAAATCCTGTCACCTGCATAGTCTGAGTCTACAAATCCTTCCAATACCATCTGAGCTGCCTTGTGCTTGTAAATTAAACCATAACTGAGAGTATTCTTGACATATCTCAACACCCACTTCATGGCAAGCCAATGATCTTGCCCTGAATTTGGCATATACTTGCTCAGTATGCTTACTGCATAGGCAAGGTTAGGCCTAGTGCAGATCATTGCATACATCAAGGAGCCTACTGCACTTGAATAGGGAACTTTAGACATCTCAATTTATCTTCCTCTATTGTGGGAGATTGTTCCGCTGACAACTTGAAGTGACCGGCTAGAGGAACATTTACTACTCTTGCCAGTTCCATTGAAAACTTCTTCACGACCTTCCTTAAGTACTCTTCTTGTGAAAGGCATAAGATCTTTTCTCTCATGTTCTTTTTTATGTCAATACCAAGAATTCTTCTTGCCTTGCCCAAGTCTTTCATATTAAACTCTGAGCTTAACATTTTCTTCACTTCCTTGATCATTTCTGGGTCCATGCTTGTAATTAGCATGTCATCTACATACAATAGGAGAATAACTACATTACTTGCTCCTGTGTTTCTGTGATACAAACAGGAATCATAATTGCTCCTTGTAAATCCAGCTTTAACTACATAGCTGTCAAATCTTCAATACCATTGCTTTGGGGATTGTTTCAATCCGTACAAGGACTTCCTCAACAAACACACTTTTTCTTCCTTTCCTTTTACTTCAAACCCAGGTGGTTGTTGCATGTAAATTGTTTCAATCAGGTCCCCATGTAAGAAAGTAGTTTTAGCATCCATCTGCTCCAATTCCCAATCCTTTTGAGCTACTAAGGCAAGAATAGTCCTTATTGTCTTGTATTTCACAACAGGTGAGAACACCTCAGTATAATCTATGCCCTTAACCTGTGTGAACCCTTTAGCTACTAATCTTGCCTTGTATCTCTTGGGCTCATTTGATGCAGCTCCTTCTTTAACCTTAAAGATCCACTTACAGGAAACAGGTTTCTGCTTCTTAGGCTTGTCTACTAAGACCCAAGTATTATTCTTCCTGAGAGAGTTCATCTCTTCCTCCATGGTAGCAATCCACTTGCTGGACTGAGAGCTTGAAACTGCTTCTTGATATATACCTGATTTGGCTTCTAACAGATCTTCAGCAGAGCTTAAAGCAAAAGCTATGAGCTCACTTTCACCATATCTTTGAGGGGATTTGATCTGCCTCCTTGGCCTATCTCTTGAGAGAACATAATCTGACAGAGTTTCTAATGCTACAGGCTCTAGTTCCTCTCCTGGGTCTTCAGCAGTAATTTCCTGTGTCATTTCCTGATGTTGTTCTGGTTCTTGATCAGGTTCTTGATCTAGTGGTGCTTGATTTGATGTCATTGGTGCCTCCACCTCAAATTGAAGCTCCCGTAGAGTGTTTGCACCTGTTCCTGCATCATTACAAGTAGCATCTTTGTCCTTCTTAAAATAAGGCATATTATATATTCATTAAAGATTACATCCCTACTAATGATGATTTTAAACTTAGGACCATCTTTCAGGCATAATCTATATCCTTCGACTCCCTCAGGATATCCTAGGAATATGCATTTAAGGGATCTAGGGTCTAATTTCCCTTCCCTTTGGTGTGCATAAGCTGCACATCCAAAGACTCAAATTTCCTAGGTTAAGACGTTTTCCAGTCTAGAGCTCTTGTGGAGTCTTACATGGACATCTATTGATTAGATAACAAGCAGTGTTGACTGCTTCACCCCAAAAATACTTAGGTAAACCTGAATCAATTAGCATACACCTAACTCTTTCCATTAAAGTTCTATTCATTCTCTCTGCTATTCCATTTTGTTGGGGTGTTTTCTTCACAATTCTATGCCTTAGGATGCAATTATTGTGGCAATAATCTGTGAACAACTTATGGCAGAATTCTAGACCATTATCAGCTCTAAAGGCCTTTACTCTTTTATTTTAGTTGATTCTTGTGGTGAATTGACAAAGCGAAGCTGAAAATGAAAACTTCTTATTTTCATTCATACATTCATAGTATACACTGCATACATATATATACATCAACTCCAGTAACCCTATCATTAAGTCTGTATCCTATCAAATTAGGAAACTATCAAATTAGGAAACTATCTCTACTTCTAAGGAAATAATCCATCAAACTAATTGCCTAAAGTCACCTAGCTGTACACGGCTTTCCAGCCTGTATTCCAGCTATATACAACTTTTTCCACACTCCCCCTCAAGCTGGTGAATAGGCATTTTCCATTCCCAGCTTGGATACAATAATCTGAAAAACTGAGCTATTCAGTCCTTTGGTAAGGACATCAGCAAGTTGTCCATGTGTAGACACATAAGGCATACAAATCAGCCCACTTTCTAACTTCTCCTTAATAAAGTGTCTGTCGATTTCAATGTGTTTGGTCCGGTCATGTTGTACTGGGTTGTGAGCTATGTTAATCGCAGATTTGTTGTCACAGTAAAATCTCATTGGGCCGTCCCACTTGACCTTCAAATCTTCAAGAATAACCTTCAACCAAAGTAGTTCACACACTCCTTGAGCCATGGCTCTGAATTCAGCCTCTGCACTTGATCGAGCTACCACGCTTTGTTTTTTACTTTTCCAAGTTATAAGATTCCCCCCAAGAAAGGTGCAGTATCCTGATGTCGATCTTCTGTCAACAATTGACCCAGCGTAATCGGCATCTGTGTATGCTTCAAGAACTAGCCCTCCATTTCTTTTGAACAAGATACCTTTTCCCGGCGTTCCCTTCAGGTACTGTAGAACTCAATAGGCTGCTTGTAGATGAACTTCCTTTGGGCTATGCATAAACTGGCTAATTACACTCACTGCATATGCGATATCTGGTCGTGTGTGAGACTAGTAAATGAATCTTCCCACCAAATGTTGATACATTTCCCTATTTACTGCGGCATCTTCCTCTGCTTTCCCAAGTTTTAAATTCAGGTCCATAGGTGTGATCGCTGGTTTACATGCTGTCTTGCCAGTTTCCTTGAGAAGGTCTGTGACGTACTTCTGTTGAGAAATGAAGATTCCCTGCTTTGAGTGAGCAACCTCAATACCAAGAAAATACTTCAACCTTCCTAATGCTTTAATCTCAAATTCCTTAGCCAAATGCTGACTTAAGACCTGCTTCTCCTTAGAATCATCTCCTGTCAATATTATGTCATCAACATACACTAAAAGAGCTGTAGCTCCCCCTGAAGTTGAATGCTTAATGAACAGTGTATGATCCCCTTGGCTTTGCCTGTATCCCAAAGTCAGCATAACTCTTGCAAATCTCCCAAACCATGCCCGTGGTGACTGCTTAAGGCCATATAGTGCCTTCTTCAATCTACACACAGTGTGAGTAGTCAAATTCTTCCCATATCCTGGTGGAACCTCCATATAAATCTCCTCCTCTAATTCCCCATGTAGGAAAGCATTTTTGACATCAAACTGCTGCAATTCCCAACCATAATTCGCTGCCAGTGACAACAAAACTTGTACTGTATTCATCTTTGCCACAGGGGCAAATATCTCCATATAATCGATCCCATAGGTCTAAGTATACCCCTTTGCTACTAACCGCGCATTGTATCTCTCAA